CATTTTAATTCGGAAAGCTTTCCTATGTTAGTTTTTATAAGGTTAATAAATGTGCATATTCAAGTTAAAATTTATGAAAAATACAATTCTGAAACATTTTCACCATGTAACCCTTTATAAAATCTTGAAAATTTTAAAAAATTTTAAGTTTTGTCGGACGACGCTAGATCAACTTCTTTGCAAGGATATGTTTTTTGTATAGAATGCCTGCTTTGAAAAACCTTTTTCTTAAGTTCTATTCGAAATCCCATTTCCAGTTCACTTGAAGGACTTGGCGCCGGGTATCGTTGAAGCATTTCCACAAGAATTAAACCGTTTTGCTCCAAATCTTTTGGCCAAACAAATCACAGCTGAGTACACAGGACAGGAGGAGCAGGAGGAGGAGCACGGACTGGGGCAGGAGCAATGATGGAGGCATGGCAGATTTGGGGGGAGGGGAGAAACATGCATAACAGGAGCAGCGGCGGCATCCTTATATCGATGGCATTCACATGTTTAGCACACAAACGAAATGCCAGAGCAAAAATATGCATACAAATCTATCTGTGCGCATTGGATGGCCAAAATCGAGTCCAGTTTCGGTGGCAAGGGGGCGGCACTTCCCCGGCTTGGCACTCGGAGTCCTGCTGGAGTCCTGAACTCGAATCTGAATCTGATTCCGAATCTGTCGACTGCTCTACATTTTGTTGTGCATGGCAAACATTGCGATGGAGTGTGTGATGTGATGTGTGGTGTATCGTACATTGTCTATATGGGACTCGGACTCGGTGTTGGACTCGGAGTCGGATTCGGGCTGGGAGTAGCTTCCCACCGCCCGCACAGCCACATGGCTGCTGTCCCAATCAATTGTCCAAATGTCCAAACTTCATTTGTTATGCGCATCACAAAAATTGAAGCAAATCATTTTGCCAATCGCATTTTGATTTCAAATGTCGCTTGCTGCTGATTGAGTGGCGAGCTGTGGGTGGTGGGCGTTGGGCGGTGGGGGGCGTGGCATGAGTCTGGGGGTCTAAGAGCGGCATAGAAATGGGATTGGGAACGAGGATGATGGGTCAGCCGCCTCACAGTTTATGTTAATGCCTGTGTATATTTGCCGCCAGCGGCGCCTGAAATTATGCAATGTCTTTATTAATTTATCTCAAAACCAAATGGGATTCACACATAGAGGGCGTAGCGATGAGCACGTGACACGACAAATGCTGCCTACTAATCTAAACTATGCAATTTTTAAATATTTCTTTAAAATTAAATTTTTTTTAAATGTATATACATTTATTCTTTTATATTTCAAGATCGTTATATTATATATAATAGCAAACTTATGATAGATTTTGAGCTTCTCTTATGCTTTTTTGGGGAAAGTACACAGACTCAGAAAGAGGGGAAAAATAAAAACCTACAATACCCTAATCAACTCATCATTATAAGGGTTTTTTTTTGTCCGATCCTTTTGTGATTTATATATATATTTTATCTTATCTTGTAAATATATTAATAACATATTTTAAAAATAAGTAATTGCAAAGATAACCCGAGGCTTATCACAGTCTTTTTCGATGACCAATCAATAATAAAGCGCATTTCCCCTAATTGTGAAATATATCATACCATCCAAGATCGAAACATATAGCTTTATATCATGGGTTAAGGCCTCACGACACCATCTCTAGGGTTCATCCAAGGCCTGCGGAGGATTTATTTTCGTCAGGGCCTCCTCACATTTTCGTCCCGGCTATTTATGCAGTGTTTAACTTGGCCCGCGGCTCCTGCTACGCCTTGCCGCTGCGACTATCCACGTCTTCGTGGGGGGCGACACATTGCCGCGAGGGCGTGGCACTTTCACGCCCCAGTCGCGTAACTCATTTTCGCTCGCCAGACGAGAGCAAGTTGAGAAAGAGGAGCGGAGGAGGCAGGATGGGTGGGGGAAATGGGAAATGCGAAAAGGGAAAGAAAGTTTCTTTTGCCGCCACTTGGCACATTCTTAATTTCTTGCGTATTTTGTCAAGACAAATTGAATTTTTATGAGCGTCGCCCGACGACGTCGTCGTTTGCGAAAAGCAAAAGAAATCGCAAGTCGCCGACGATGGCAGAAGCAGCAACAGAAACTTTAAACTTTTCTCATCTTGTGAAATTCATTTTATCACAAGTAATTACTTTGTAAATATCCGGCGGAGAGGCGAGCAGCAGAGGCAGAGGCGGCGGCACCTGCTGCTGCTGTTTCCGTCTGTCTTGGCCACTTGAGCGGCAATAAAATGGCTTAAATCCTACTAGGACGCGGCGCCCGCTTAAGAATATGATGAAAAGACAGTTCAGTTTGGCTCTCAAACGATTTACTTTTGCCTGTTTAGTGCAACTTGCCATTGGGTCCGTCAAACCGCGGCAATAATTTGCACAGAGAAAACATAGACGACGATCTTAGTGGGTAAACGTCTGAGAGCATTCACGATGGGCCGTGGAAGCAGCTGGGCTATTGTCTTAGTCAAAGAGACCGAAGCCCATGTCATCGTCCTCCTCCTCGGACTCGGACTCGACCTTCTTGGCCTCCTCCTTCTTCTCGGCAGCACCGCCAGCGGCGGGAGCAGCTGAGGCCGAGGCAGCGGCGGCAAACTTGCTGGGGTCCTTGATGTACTCCTTGATGGTGGTGGCCTCCTTGAACTCCACATCGGTGGTAGCAGCGATGGCCAGCAGGTTCTTGAATCCGTTGGCAATGCTGTGCGGGGCCGAGGCGATGGTCGGGTAGCCCACAGACAAACAGACGGCGGCCAGGTTGGCAACACCCTGTTGGAACTTGGCGCGCAGATCCTCGGGCTTGATGTCCAGGATCTCGGGCGAGAAGATGGAGCCAGAGTCGTAGACCTGGTTGACGATCAGGCCGTACGAGAAGGGCGAGATGTTCAACATGTTGAGCAGCGTAGCCTCGGAGGCGCCGACCTTGTCGCCGGGCTTCAGGATGGGCACATCGTTGATGATTTCAATTGTTCCCTTGGAAATCTTGGTCGGGATGGACAGAGCCTGGAAGAAACTGGTCTTCTCGGGTCCCAGACCGGTGTTCTGGGCCGGGATGACGACATGCAGAGGAGCAATGGCGCCGGGACGGGCCGGGGCGCGCACCTTGGACTCGAGCAGCTTGTCGCGCACCTCGGCTAGATCGCCCTTGGTGAAGACGAAGCCCACGTTGCCCTTGATGTGCGGCAGCAGCTTCTCCAGCTGGGGGTTGTTCTCCAAATGGCCGCGGATAGCCTTGCGCATCATGGTGTTCTTGCCCATCAGCACGACGGCTAGTCCACGCAGGCTAGTACGGATGTTCTGCATCTGCTTAGAGCCCACATTGTCGGCGCCCACGATGAAGCACTTGGGAAACTCATCGAACAGTTCCTGTGGAACGGAAAGGACGGCAAAGGATTAGCGGCTGATCCAAACGCAAGTTGCGCGGCGGTACTTACCACGACCTTGATGAAGTACTGAGCCTTCCATGCTGCCTTGTTCTCCCTAACCATTTTGAAGCTGATTTAGGGACTCGTCGGTTGAATTTAAGAACTGCAAAAGAACCATTTTATTAGATATAGCACGAGCTTCGTTTTGGGTCACTTCCTGGACCCAACACTCCCAGGATGAATCATATTTTTCCGTTTTTTCAGGGTACCTACCAAAGCACAGACTTTTCGGTTTTCGTTACAGAACGGAAAGAAGGTAAGTTGGCTGCGGATGTAGAGGTGGGGAGAAACATCGATATCGATGTTTTTAAAAACAAATGGCACTTCGACTATCGACGTTTTTGACATCACTAGTTAGAGGAAAGTGCTGAAAATATTTGTAAATTAAATTAGCTAAAATGTTTTTATATATTTTATTGTAAGAATAAAGCCATATTTGTTTAACTTTAAAATAAACCTTTTTTTATTATAAACCATAGAATATTTTAATTTAATTAATTTCTTAAATTTCTTCAAGCAAAATATGTTTTAATATTTTATGACATCGCCGATACATCGATATTTTGAAACATGGAAAAACATCATGTCCACGCATATTCCATGCTGTTGAGTGCAATGTTAAACGCATTCGGAATTTTTGTAAATACTAAGGGTATTCCCAGTACTACATTTTTAAATATACCGGCAATATATTAAGCCAAAGCTAAATTTTCAAAATACATATTTGATTTATCCAAAAGATTATATATAAATATAGATTTATTGTTTTAACAAATGCGAATATTTTGGTTCTTCATGGGGGCATAACTTGCCTCCAAAGGAAACTTCAGATTGGCTATAGTTTAAAATTAAATATTTTCCGAATATTTGAATTTCATTTTACTAAATTGTTGTTAAAATGTTTCCAAATATTTGAATATCATTTTACTAAATTGTTGTTAAAATTGTCAAAAATCTACAATAAATAGAACTTAAAAAATATTTAATGGTATACAGATTTATTAACCTATTATAGTATAACATCTAAAATCTTTAATAATTTAATAAATATACTTTTTGACGATAATACAATTATTTGAAATGGTAACTTTTCAGATATATATGATTTGAAAAAAAAAAAAATTCTGTTACTTTTTTAATTTAGGTATGAATAAACTGTTGTTTTTATCACTTTTATTGCAAGCCGCATAAATAAAATAAATTTGAGTCCGTTTAAAATATTATAAAAAATATTCTTTAACTTTTTCAATTTTATATTTCATCCAGGTCTGCGAAGATTCATGTATTTCACACCTCTATTGCAAGTCGCATGAAGCAGAAAATAAATTTTAGTTAGTTCAAAGTTACACAGTATCTATTTAAAATATATTATTTACTTCAATTTTTAATAGATATTGAGCTTCTTTTACTTTTAATAAGATTAATTTAAGTCGATTCTATTACGACTGTTCGTTTTGATAGTTACTAAATGCTTTTAAAGAAGGCCCCTAATACATCACTCTGTTAATTAACAGCGCTCTGGCAGAGTCTGAGTCTGGTCACTCTACACTGCTCAGCTGACAGCTTTTTATAAAAACATTTGTTGCGAATTTGTTGTATTTATACATTATCAAGCGTAATCTTCGAACGGAACCTTGTTTATAGAAAAAAAAATTAACTGCGTAAAACCTCTGTGTATCACCTGATGCTCGAGCCCTGAAATTACGAAAAGTAGGCAGCTGGCTATTGGGGAAAATCTTCAGACGATTTCATCAGAATGGGCAAAGATTACTACAAGATTCTTGGCATCGAGCGTAACGCATCCAGCGATGAGGTCAAGAAGGGCTACAGACGGATGGCGCTGCGCTATCATCCTGACAAGAACGACCATCCACAGGCCGAGGAGCAGTTCAAGGAGGTGGTGGCCGCCTTCGAGATCCTGTCCGACAAGGAGAAGCGCGAGATCTACGACCAGTTCGGTGAGGAGGGCCTGAGGTGCGGTGACGAACCGGCGACCTTCGCCCAGCCCACGTCCGATATGCTGCCGTTCATGTGTGCCGTTGGCGGAACCGTGCTTTTCGCCTTTGCTGCCTATAAGACATTCCAGTTCTTCACACGCAAAAAGGAGCCGACGGGCAACAACGATGGCTCGTCCTCAGACTAAGGATCCATTCAGGACTACAAGGATCATACTCGAATTAAGTTATAAAAAAGACTATGTAAGGACTATTTAATCTGGCTATGCCTGTGTTATTTAACATTATTGTTGTTGTGGTACATCGAAAGGCGACTTGCAATGCTGCTGCAGAGAATATATTTTCAGTGGAAATATGTATATACTCGCCAACCCCGATTAATCAAACTATTCAAAATGATTTACGATTTCTATGTTAATATCTTAATTTAATAATTCTGAATACAAGGCACTATATGTAGCCGCATAAGTGTTTGATACAAGTTGTTACAATATTTTTTTCCTCCTATAGCACATAATATTATGTAGTGACTCCTCGCATTCCGTGATCACAGATAAGTGATTATGTTTTTCTGTTGAGCGCGGTGTTTTTTTTGTTATAAACACAGGCTTCAAATAGCTATCGATCAGTAAGTTCTTATCGATGGTTTGTTTTGGTAAGTTATAAATTAAAACATTTAATTAAATTTTACGCTAACGTGCTGAAAATAATGCTTTTCCAACAGCAAAATGTACAAGCCGTTTGGGTACCTAAACTTTTACAGAGTTTTGGGTGTGAATGAAGACGCCTCGGAGGAGGAGATCAAGAAGGCCTTTCATCAGCTAGCCAGTCGCTGTCATCCCGACAAGAGCAGATCGGGCGCTACCGAAAAGGAATTCAAGAAAATTCTCCACGCCTACAAGGTGCTTACGGATGTAGTCCAGAGAAATTACCACAACATTCATCTTAGGCAGAGGCAACAGCGAAACTCCAACAGGACACACCCGCGCCATGAGGAGGCTCATCCTACACAGGAACCGAGTATCAGCCAGAGATTTTGGAGCTGGCTACTTCCGCACCGCATCTTTGTGGCATTTGTATGGTTGAGGCTGTGGTTGACGTCGCACTGCCAGATGAGATTAATATTCGCAAGGTCTGGCTTAGGAAAATGCTTCCAGCGGGCAAAGCTGCTCCTCATCGAGCTATGGCCACAAGTTAGGGAATGTGCTATAACTATTAGGAAGACAGCAGTCGCGCTGGTTAAGTGGTCACTGTGTGCCCATATTAAAATGTCTTTGTGGAGTATTAAGCATCTGGTGTCTGAGATGCTCAGGGCTTTCGTTGGAGCACCTGGCAGCCCCATACAAAAGCTTATATGTGTGAGCTTCGCCTGGCAGATCGCAGTTCTAGGTCATAGAGTCGGGGTTTGGCCTTGGGTGGGTTGCCTAATGCTTTATATAATTCGTTTCTCGTTGATATTCATTATGTTTTGTGTAAAATGTATTATTTATTTACTCTTAAACACAATAAAGTAGAGCAACTGGGATCCTATTTATGTGTACATATTAAAATTATAATATAAATTATATGTATTTTATAAGATCCTATAAATCTTCAAATTGAAATTGAAATAAATCGGTGAAATTGAATTTATATGGGGAACTATAAATTAAAAGCTTGACAAATCGCAAATTTATTTTGTGAACTAGCCAAATATACTGATTTGAACAGGAAAGATATCGATATACCAGTAAAAATATCGATATACAAAATAAGCTACTGTCGAATCGGTATCTGACAACCATTTAATCTGGGGCTTCAGCAACACGTCAAACTTTAAAAATTTTGGTACTTTTCCCAATATTATTGAAGAGCAAAATATCACCAATATTTAATACTACTTATATGTGTATATTTGTACAGAAACACAATGGGCAACGCAGAATCTAGCCAAGATCACTACAAAGTTCTGGGTGTGCAGCCGGACTCCACGGATACGCGTATTACTAGAGCTTTTTGGAGCTCGCCATTAGATTGTCAACCAGAAGAGAGAACGAAGTACAACCGAGCATATCGCGTTTTGCACAATCCTAGAAGAAAAGAAGCATATGATGCATCCAGGTAAGTGAAAGAAAGACCCAAAAATTAAACAACTTATTTTGGATAACTCATGCAGGGGTAAAGGGGGTAAAGGCTTCTTCTTTTACACCTGCATCTTTGTTGTGGGATACGTAACGTACAGACTATGGCAGAGCGGAAAATTGGAAGAAATAAGCCAGGATGTAATCAGACAATCGGCTAAGAAATCTAATTTTGCATCCGATTTAGGATCAAAACTAGCTGAGTCGGCTAGTTCTGTGGCCAGTGCATTCAAGGATGGCTTGTCCAAAGCGGAAAAGTGGTTTCAGGATTTATAGACAAATGTTCAAATGTTGTCCCATAATTTGTGAGCTAACTTCACCTTTATCTTTTGTAATGATGTACACTTTTTAATAAAAAAAGTTATTGTCTATCCATCCCCTTTTATTACACACAACCACATCGTAATGCCTATCGATTACATGCACTCGATTGCAACCACTATCGATAGACTTTTCTCAGACGTGGTTTTTCCCATTTTTGGCGAAGCAATGCAACTGATTTCAATTTCAAGATAAACAAACGTATTGGCGCGAGGTTTTCATCCTGCACGAAAACAACGAGCACGTGGGTGAAGGGGAGCAGCCAGAAGACACGACACGAGATCAGCCAGGCGTGAGCAACAGTTGTAGCATCGAGTGGCTTAGAGATACAACTGGTCTGGCCTGGTAGTGGTAAGTCCAAGGCCCGGATGCGATAAGGGACTGCTGGGGACGCGGGGAAAAGCGGTCTGATTACTACGCATTACGTGAAACGAGCTCAACGATGTCGGCGGTGCCCAAATCTGCTGATCCAGCGGAGTTGGCGTTCTCGGTTGACAATGTCAGCAATAGCAATGGAAGCAGCAACAACAACAACAACAGCCGCGGCAACAGCAGCAGAGCTACCAGCCAGGGCAACAATAATACTCCAAAAAAGTATATCGCTCCCGGAGCAGCGAGCTCCATCAAAATGTGCCCCGCCAGCAATTCGAGTAGACCCTCGCACAATAATAACAACAACACCAATAGTAAGCAACTAAATGGGATCTGCCAGCAGGCCCAAGCTGGTCACAAACTAATGGTCATCATGCGTGGTCCCCCGGGCAGCGGAAAGTCCACGCTGGCCGAATCCCTGTTGCGCCAGAGCCGCCTGTTAGAGCGACACGGCGTGCAGGATTTTGTCTTTGGCACGGACGACTACTTTAAATCGCGGAACGGATATGACTTCAATCCCACATTGCTGCCCGCGGCCCACGAGTGGAATCAGAAGCGGGTGCGAGAGAAGGCCGCTCGCGGCTGGAGCCCCATATTTGTGGATAACACCAACACAATGGTGTGGGAAATGCAGCCGTATGTCCAGATAGGCGTGAAGTACGGCTACGTATTGGAGCTGCTCGAGCCCCAGACCAGCTGGTGCAAGTCAGCCAGCAAGCTGGCGCAAAAGAATGTCCACCAGGTGCCCAGGGAGAACATCCAACGAATGCTGGAGCGATATGAGCGCACCAGTGCAGCCGAACTGATACGGGTGAGACTTATAAAAAAAATGGAAAGCTAGTTCCCTCTCTAATGTTCATATCATTTTTCCACAGCTATTGAAAGAAACAAAATACACGGTAGCATTGCCGCAGCTGCGACAATATCCTCCCCTGCCCGCTGTTCCTGTTGTCAAAAATTTTGATCAGAAGGAACCTCCGGATGCCTTAATTCCTCCTCAGCCGGTCACAAATATCAAGCTGAATGCAAACGCACAGACCTGGGTGCCTTACGAGCAGGGAGCACCATCTTACTGGTCCCAAACAGCAGAATTACCGGATCCGGAAGGGTCGACTATTCCAGCGTCAGGGTTGAGTGAGAAATCTCTTATCGACCTACTGCGCGATAACTGCATAGTGGAGGAGGTTGCGGAGGAGGCGAAACCAAAGACGGAAACCTGTGAAGCCTTTCAGCGTAGACACTGCCTTGACTGCCCCAACGAGCCTGGAGGATTTGCAATACTGCGCCAGATGTATCCGAACAAGCAGATGTCGGGCCTTTGGGACCTCTTTGTCAAGTGCAACGCCGACGTGGACTGGGCCGTCGATATATTAATCAAGGAGGACGAACTAAATGGCGAGTCAGGAGCTGATCATATAGCATCAGAGAAAGGTCTTAGTCCAGAGGAAGCCTTGCAATTCCAATGCGACTGCGCCAATCCGGAATCCCCAGCAGCCGCCACTCCTCGTTCCTCGTCGCCGTCTTCGGCAGCGGCCAAGCCACTCCCGAAGCCGCAGCGTCAGGTTCGAAACAAACGCGCCTCAGGGCCCACTAACAAGGAGTTGCAGTTGCAGATCGAGAACTGCTTTGTGCTAGGTAATGTTGAACGTAAAAAAAAGTAAATAAAATTTAAATTTTGTTGATATTTTTTGCTTTAGGCGACGAACAATACTCAGAGCATACACGCAAAATCCGTGACATCCGCAATGGGATTCTTGATCAACCCGCTTTGCCTGAAGCGCTCGAGGTGGCGGGAGTGGAGCAGGAGGATCCGGAGGAGGAGGTGGACCCTGAAGACAATACACTGCTGGAAATGGATCTGGGCAGCATGTTCATAGAGCGTCTGCGCGATCAGTTCGACACAGACGACGAGGTGGCGCCGCTGGAGCAAGAACTGCCCGCCGCCACCAAGATCTTTATGCCGCGCCAGCTGGCAAAGCAGCTGTATATGCTGTGGAAGGAAGCCGTCTACAATCAACTAGAGGAGCAGCGCCAGCAGACGCTGCGCGACGATGAACAGTTCGCCCGCCTGCTAAAGCATCCGGAATACGCCGAATGCAGCGAGTCGCCGAGCAATGTGGGCGAGCTGCTGGACATGGAGCTGGCATGGAGCATCTATAACAGTGAGCAGCTGGCCGCCAAGCAGGCTGCTGAACTAGCCGCTCGCAAGCAACCGCCCAACGACATTGCCACCCATCTGACCAAGATGAAGCTGTGCGAGACCTTCCCTGAGATACCTAACGATACAGTGCTCGAGACCTTCATGGCAACTGGCAGCAACTACAGTCGAACGGTCGAGGTCCTTGGCGGCAACGTGCAGAGCTCTCTCAGCGGAGCGGAGCTCTATGAGCAAGCGCTTCGAGAGGGCGAAAAGGTAAGATGAAAATAATGTAATTATACCATTTCCCTCTCACCTTCCGACTTTTCTTTAGCTAAGTGCCCAGGTGGCTCTGGAGCAGCAGAAGATGCAACAGAAACGACTGCAACAGAGCTCATCCGGGCAGCGCTCGAGCTCCCAATCCTCAGCCGGCCGGTCACCCCTTCTCCACGAGGAGGCCAAGTGCGCTGCTCTGCGGGACTTTGAGGAGACCCGCAACTTAGCGGCCCACCACTCTCAGTTAAAGGCCGAATGTTACTTGAAGGCGAAACAAGCAGTGCAAAGGGGCAATGGCAACGTGGCGCTCTATTACTCCGAGATAGCGAATCTGCACAAGCAGAAGATCGACTCCTTCAACCAGCGTGCTGCCAACTGCATCATGGAGGTGCATCGGCACACACAGAACAACCCAGATCTGCTTGACCTCCACTACCTGCACACGGTGGAGGCGATTAGCTGCCTGGATTTGTTCCTAGATCGGCACATAACCGTGCTGCGCAACTGCACACGCGTCTACAAGCATGTCTTTATCATTACCGGCCGTGGTCTGCACAGTGCCAACGGTGTGTCCACCATCAAGAATCGGGTTAAGTCCAGGCTGGCCGAGCGACGCTTGCGGTAAGTCAATGGATTTTATTAGGTCTCTGGCCTGGCTAATCTTGTTCCACTTTCCAGCTGGCAGGAGGTCAATCCGGGCTTGCTGCGCGTTAAAATCTTTTCGGCATCGCGTCACTCCAAGAACTTCTGATCGGAGGCGTAGTGACCGGCAGGCCATATGGATGTGACTGGACAGCGAACAGAGAAACGAGATAAGCTACCTCAGGTGTCATTCTTTTTGTAATTATACCAAAAAGTTGCAAAATTCTCTGTCCCAAATTCTTAATACCTTCGTTATCGTAGGTGAAAACATTCCTGTTTTTTCAATACTTTCAACTACTGAAAATGTTCTTGTCTTTAATTTTCCATTTTACGTTAAATTTATGCTTCCACCAAATTAGGAATTCGTGTGAAACGCGAATTTGGCAACGAAATATTGAACGTGGTGCTTAATTTATCTTACAAAGAGATATATACACGAAGAAGACATATTTTTTATACCCTTTTCCATATAACTAGCTTCTAAGAATCCTAGTCATAAGTTAGTTAAAAATATAACATTTAAGATAAGTATTCATTAAAGTTAATCGGAACAATAGTTATTTAGTTTCTATAAAAATATACAGCGGGAGCTTTACAGTAAACTCATCATATTTTAAATTATGATTAAATACATTTGTATTTTATGGACTATTAAAAGGTACTTTTGGTTCCATGGGTAATTCCCTCGTAGTCCGCGGCGCAGGTACCGCGGCTTATTCCACACCTGTAATTGCTCCGGCTTGTTACCCTGACTACCTGTCATAAATAATATACAAATGCAAACTTTTGTGTTGATGTTTGAAACATTGAAAGACAATCTTTATTGACCATAAAAATTAATAACTTCTAGTCTGACCTTGGCAGGCAAGCATCTATTATCTGATCAGGGCAGGATACACAAAATGTTGCGTACACCCACCCGCTTGGTGGAATGCTGTCTCCACACTTAGGTATATTTAATTCGTATCTTAGTCTAGAACATTGATGGCAGTCTGAGCGAGGGCTCCGTGATTTTGGTATAGTTGTGGTCGCGATGGCCACTAGGTGGGGTCCTGTGAGTTGGACACTCGCGTTGCCCCCGGTGATTGGTTCTCCTTGCCATTGTGTAGGCGGTTGCCGATGGCCATCAGTTCCATGAGATTGGACCGACTGCGCTTGGGCGTGTAGCGCGAGGAGCTGCAGTTCAGGCTGCCATTGGTGGCCTCGCGCGGCGGAGTGTTCAGAAAGACGCCCTCGAAGATGGTCTCTAGACTGTTGGCGCGGCTCAGCGTGGCCCCAGAATCATCGGCGTCGCTGGGCGGGCTGATCTGGGCGTTGATCTCGTGCAAGGCCACGTACTCGGGATTGTTCTGGCGGGTCTCCACCTCCTGGGTACGGGGGAGGAGCAGTTGCTTAGGCGTCTCGATGTCCGAAAGGTTGAGGTCGTCAATCGGCGACGGGGTGCGTCCGTGCGGGGAGAAGGCGCGGATTTCAAAGGTTGGCAGCTCGTCGCAGCTGCCCACGGGAGATGCTTCCTCGTGGTCGAAGGCCAGCGAAAGGTCGGTTTCGCTCTCAAGATCCACGGAGGACATCGAGCACTGTAGTTGATCTCTGCAGCGCTCCTCCGCGCACGTATTTACTGCATCCGAAGTGTCCATTGTCTGGCTCGTTAGGACGGCGCGTCGGCTTCTTATAAACAACCTTCAGGCCACGGCCTGCCTGCAATCCGTGGCTACCTTCGCGGAAATCTGCGCCCGCAGGTAGACAGAGTCAGGTCACGGTGTTCGACTTCGGGGTTTTTTCTCTTGTTTCTATATATATAAATTTGTATATATTTGAGTATAGAAACAAACAATTTGAAATCTCAACAATTTTACTATAGTGATGTCAAATTGTCGATGGTTCGATCGATAGTTTGAATTCAGCTACGATGATATCGTACTAAACGGGTCCGATACATAATTTCGTTGCTTAGGAACAATCGGGAAATTAAAACAACAAATTTAAATAAATTTTTATATAACATATCGTTTTAAAGTAGAAGCGTTGGAAAATTGTAATGAAAAACAAAAGCAGTACATATTAAAATGTGAGGTAAAAAATATTTTTGTATTGTTACAATAATAAATAAATTAAATATTCCAATAAATCGATTTAATCTTTAACCAAACGGTTGATTTACGTTTTTTATTTTATTTATAGACAATGTATTATGCGTCGATACTATCATGATAGTATTGATATATCTAATGATATTTTGATAACTCTATAATGTTTAAATTATTAAACATAATAAAAACCATAGTAATAGTTTCACAGCCATTTAACAAAATAAAAAAAGATATATATATATGTATATATATACATACATATACATGTTTAAAAAAAATACTAAAGCAAAAGACGGAAACGTATGATTTTAAATTATTTCGCCAAAAAGTATAGTATAGTTTATAGTATAGTTTCATGCACTGCTTTCGAGGTTCACAAAATTGTCCACTGCTTTCCGATAAATTCAAATCAATTCCATTAATGCACTGCTTCCTTAATAATAATTCAACACTCGCATTGCTTTTTATACCATTAAAAAATTATTTTTTTGTTATTAAAAACTTAAATATATAAGAAGAGTTACGGTCGTAAAATGTAATTCCTTAATAAGACCTGTAAGCGAACTTACCCAAAATCTTAATTCAATTTAAATTTAAACAAAGAGCCGAACCAATTTTCCTTCATAACTTTTATTCGAATCTGTCTTTTGTTGGTTTTCGTTTATGCTTAGCTTGCATTTGCTCGTTAAACAAGTTAATTAGTGAAATTATCGTACATCGTCGTTAAAAGTCATAAATTGTGGTATATACGATATAGCAAGTTTATACATCGAATTATAGTACCCCAGTTCGCTAACTCTGTTGCATTCTGCAATTAATGTGCAATTAAACATTTATCTATCTTAAGTAATTTTCGATGCGCAAGCTTTTAGCTGCCCACTCAACACAATTGTTGCTCTGTCATAAAAACAATGAATCGTTAAATTATTTAACAAATAGTTTAAAGCGTATTCGAAAGTATACATTAGATATAGTAGTTTAGTTTTCGTAAACCTACAATTAAATTACAATTAAATACAAATCGTTAATGTAATGCCTAGAAAACATATTTCATTTCTTGGAAGTTTGTATTTCGCTTAATTCCTTTACTTTTACATATTTTGAGCGCAGATTTCATTTAACTAACTTTTTCTTTGGTTTTTTACCATACGCATAGAGTGAAACACGAAAGTTTTGCCACAAGTCCTGTGCCTAAACATTTAATTTAATTTTATTAAATTCAATTTGATGCGTTTCTCGTTTGGGGTGTCACTTAGCTTTGTTTATAATGAATGTATGGTTATGTATTCGATTAGTATGTAGTTTTGATGATTTCCATTGTGGGCGTGGCCGACGTGAGATTTATTCCACCTTTACTAATTTTATGTATGAGTATTCAACAGCTTACATTTATCTTAGGGGACATTGCAATGCCACTGAAAGATGACATTTTCGTTACGAAAATCCAAATAGAGTCGAACTTCTTCAACTTGAACCTTCCTTACCTAGTAAGTAAGTCGAATCACTTTAATGGCAGTAGACATTCGAAATATATTACTTTAAGTAAGTTCCAAACAGCGAGAAACAGATTGAAAAGTAAAACCTATAAGGTTCAAGGTAATCTTTCCAGCAATCGAAACTAGTATACCTTCAGACATATTATTTATATTACTTAAAGTACAAATTATATTATAATAATTAAATATAGGGAAGAGGAATAAAATCAACCTACATTATGGGAAAAACTCACTTATTACTGGAAATTGTAAAAAAAAGCTTAACGCTTCTTAGGTTAGGTGAAAGTGAGAGCTGTAGGTCAGAGCTGCCCACACAGTGCCTAAAGTCCTCGGGTGCACTCTGTGATCAGCTTTGCCTTAGAAGTTCGACAGTGATTTTCATTATAATATTATATCGGATTGGGGATCAATTTTTTCTCATTCGATCATCCACTCTTCATGTTTGGCACACGCTCTGAGTAATGCTCTCCCGCTTGCCCCTTCGCTCCGGCCCCCCGCTCCTGCCCATCCCCAATCTCCCGAATGGGTCTCAGTTAAGGCCCAGGAGCCGCTTGAAGGCCCGCCGGTAGTCCAGGTTGAATATGGTGTAGATGACCGGGTTCAGGCCGGAGTTGATGTAGCCCAGCCATGTGATGAAGTTCTTGAACTTGTTCGTGGGACAGCAGCTCTGGCAGAATGGCAGGATGACGTACATGAGGAAGAAGGGCAGCCAGCAGATGACAAAGACGCCCATGATGATGCCCAGGGTGCGGGCTGCCCGCCGCTCCTTGGACAGCGAGATTTTCTGTTTCTCCTCGATGAACTGGTTAACGCCGCTCGCCTTCTTCTGCAGCGGCGTGGCAGATACGGCGGCGGCGCCCGTCGATGATTGCGGCGGAGTTAGCTTGAGGGAGGTCTGCTCATCCGCTTGGGTGACACATACCTGGAAGCAGGGAGATATATAAAGGGAGATGAGTAAATGAGATAAATTTAAATAAATGTGTTATTTCACACACCTGTATGCAACCTTTGGGATCGCTACCGCTCTCTGTGCTAATCTCGGCATCGGACTTCCCTCCGCCGGAGTGTCCGCCACCGGCGCCACAGCCACCTCCTCCTCCTGCTCCTCCTCCTCCGCCGGCGGGAAGGAGCTGCTGTTCGCCATGGGGTTCGCAGGTGGACGAGATCTGTGACTTTCGTCCGCCCCTGGCCTTGCCGTGCTTGATCGAATCCTTTATCTTGGCGCGCCGCGACTTCTTCACCAGGACAACGACATGCTGCTGCTGCGGATCCCCAGTGCCCTGGGATCCCACCTTGGAGCCGTCCTGCTGCTGAGGCTGGTGTGTCTCGCTGCTGATGCTTTCCTGATCGTTCTGGATCATGGGCGTGGTGAAGTGGGCGCGATCACGGCCGCAGCACAGCCAGCTTGCCAGAAGCCGCGACTTGGAACCCGATGCGGATGTGGATGCAGCGGCCGGTGAAGAGTTTGTAATGGGCTCCAGCTCGGCGGACTTTAGGGCGATCGTGTTGAGCTTATTGGCCTTGGCCCGCTCCCGCAGGCGTCGTCTCGTAGCCACGAATATCTCGATGTAGACAATGGTCATGATGGCCAGCGGGATGAAGAAGGAGCCCAGCGAGGAGTAAATCACGTAGCCGCGCTGTGAGGTCAGCTCGCAGGGCGTGGCACTGGTAAACTCGTCCGGCCAGTCGTTCCACCCGATCAGCGGCGGACTGCTGATCAGGAGCGAGAGCAGCCAGACGCCGGAGATGAGCAGCAGGACGCGACCCACGGTTCGCTTCTGGGCGTAGTTGATCGGATCCGTGATCGCCCAATAACGATCCAGGGCGATGGCGCACAGGTTAAGGATGGAACTGGTACAGCAAAGCACATCGCAGGTGAGCCACAGTTTGCACAGGTGGATGCCAAATTCCCACCGACCCAGAATCGAGTAGGCCACATTAAAGGGCAGCACCAGCAGGGCCACCGTGAGATCGGCCACCGCCAGTGACACGATGAAAAAGTTCTGGACGATCCGCAGTGGCTTGTAGGTGAACACGCTCAGGATCACCAAGATGTTCCCAATAATGGTCAGCACGATGATCACGGACAGCACCAAGGCGGTCAGCAGTGCCTCCCATTCCGGCACCGCCAGCTGCAATCCCAGCACGCTGCTGTGCAGCTCCTCCACTTCCCCGACGCACTCTCCGGCATCCTCTAGGTCAGATTCCGCCTGAGCCGTGGTCAGAGCCGCCGCCACGGTGGTAAGACCCTCCACCAGCGATCCGGATATGTTGGCCACCGTCTCCGCCTCGATGCCCGCCGTATCCGTGACGACATCGCTGCCTCCGGATTTCGTACTGCCGACGGCGGCAGCAGCGGTTAAAGCCGCCGCCGCCATCGTTGTGGTGACATTTATGAACAGGATCTGATCTGCCGATGGCATCTTGGCATCGCCACTTGCTCCTTCGGGCCTCGGTTGCGCTCACATGCGTCTCGTCTCGGTTGGCTGGCGGTCGGAATGTGCGGCTTCTCTGGCTTCCGTCTGCGGAGACAAATGGCGTGGAAAACAGGATTAATGTGGCTGCAAAATACCCCAAATGGAGGAGGGAATACCCTCGGGTATTGCGTTCATTATGCATAAATATGGGTGCCTCGACGCTCGCGACGAGGAGGAGCTTGTACAAGGGGTGATAAAATAAAGAAAATCACATGAAGGAAATTAAATCTCAGGCGAAATCAAGGATTACTATTGTGCTTTAAATTTGTAACATCTCACAGATATCAAAAGTTTAAACGATACACTTTAAGGCTAAGGTTTAATAGTTTCTACAACTGTTGTCTTTTTTTAAATCTAAATATTTTATTACTTGTTTCACAATTCCCTAGAAGGTGGGTCAAGCTTGAGGCTCCATGGTGACGAAAGGGGTTTATATCGCGCCGTGTGTCAAGTTTTGTAGGAAGTTGTCGTTGTCCCTTGTCATCGATGGGGAAAACTTTTGCCATCAGGTCACGGAAAATTGTTGGGGTGGTGAGTGGAGCAGAAGGCAATCAGGATCATGTCAAATCCAAATTATTTACAACTTGTCAATAAGCATGCACAAAGGATATTCGAAGGATGAGCAGAAGACTCGATAGCAGCCTCAGAAAATTCAAAAAAAGGTCAAGTAGCCTGCTTGGGGCCCAAGAAGGCACGGTACCAAGGTCATTAACAATTTAAATGACAAATCTTGTCGCATTATCTCTGCGTGGGATAAAATATTTAAAAGTAATTAAAAATGTCAAGCCAAAACGGGCCGGAACAGATGGGCCTAAGTAAATTCTTTTCCCGGTTAGCGAGATGGCTTCGAGGATTACTTGGACAATGAACTGCGAGTCCTTTTAGTTGCCTTCCTGGGTCAATACTTCGCACATCCTTCGTACTTCGCCCCTGTCCCATAATCATCGAATAATTGTTGCTCTGCTTTTTCCTCTTTCACTTGACACTTCTATATCCGCTAAGCTCCTGCCAGCTTTGGCCCCTTTCGTCCTTTTGGCCACGCCCATGCCCGATGGCAGTTGAAAGAACATTAATCAAAATAACCCGCTCATAAACTGAACTCTCCAGCAGCGCGGGAGCTCTCCAGGAAGCGGGAAAGGAAGGATCAACTTTGAAGCAAACATTTTCATTCAGCCAAAAATTGTTTCGCGTTTTTTTCTACTCCGCGGGCGGGTGGCTTTGGGCCATGGGCGGAGGTGGTGTTTTGGCAGATTGCTAATGCCCCTGAATCCTACCTTGATTTCTGTCTGCAAATGTAAAGCTTTTAGCCGAGAAGTATTTTCGGTTTCTTGTTTTTTTTTATCATTTTCCTTTTTTTTTTGCGGGCTCTACAAATAGATGGGGAAAAAGTTTTAAGCGATTTTTAGTTGGTTGGCCAGCCAGATTTTGGACACGATTCGAGTTCAAGGGTGCCCAAAGTGAGCTCCTCAACAAGCAGCCAGCCATGAAGCAACCGTAAAAACTATGGCAATGACTTTACGGAACAAATAATACTTTAAGCACAATATTTATATAGATATTGGGTTAAATATAATATAATACTATAAAGCAACCTATTTTAATAAATATTTATTAATTAAGTTACTTTACTTGATAAACAATTATTTATGCACTTTCAGGGTATTATAATTTCAGTCAGCAATTTGTAATGCTTTGAAGGATTCATTTCCGACCCTATATATCATATATATTCTTGATCAGCAGAAACTATCTAGCTACATATGTCTAACAAAAATCTAATTTCCCCAAAATTTGCAAAATAATTAATGGGGTTACATTGTTAATATTGGCAAAAAAAACTAAACTTTTAATTTTTTTTTATATTAAAAAGTGTATAAAAATTTGTTAATAAAAACTCACAAAAGAAAATTTTCCGAGATTTCTATTCCCATTGGTAAACTGATTTTCAGTTGAAATCTACGCGACATAATTGAATAACTCGTGGACCGAGGGAAACTTGAGACGAGCGACTGAGACGGGGACTTTGGGCCATTTTGTTTCTCGCCTGTCCTGGCCGCCGGCCGATAAGCTTGTTACAAAGCCTTCCTGATTACGGGACCAGCGCCTAAAAGCAGGCAACGATCCGTGTTCTTGGGCCGGCAAGTGCGAATGAACAGCTTAGGATAGTTGGGAATCCCCTTCGACACAAGTTCGCTGAAATGGGGGAAAGTTTTTTGAACTCGTTATGCAGTCGCCCGCAAAGGAAGCGACCTTGACTCAACGGGTTTCCGCATAAACATATATATTTATGTATATACATACTATATAAGGAGAGCCCGCTTATACATATGTTAGGGCCAGCTTTCCATACACATGGACATGTCCTTTTTGGCAAACTTGTCATTAGCATTTGTGTGTTTTTGCATGCGGATTCCCAGTGGAGGCAAAAGTTTGGCAACTTTAGTGGTGACCAAAAAAATAAAAGGAATAGTTTTTTCTGGGCAAAACCCAATAATAAACTTAAAGTAATTCTTTTACTTTTGCTTTAAGTAAGTACAGTTTGTTTTGGCTTGGCAAGAGTATTCAAACGCCGTTGTTGAGGGCTCAACTCATTTGTTTTCCTCAATTTTTGCGCCGTGTCAGGCTCATTAAATATGCAAGAGTTCCGGCATATCTGCAAGATACACGCATCCTCGGCATCAAGCCCACCCACAGGGCTTTATTTATAGCCCACATTAGGCACTTGGTCGGCTAAAAATACAAAAGGCCAAATCGCCTTTGATGCTGATCAAGTTTGCCACACGGAACGAAAGAGATATGCGTTACTCGTTTCAATAAAATATACTGTATACCGGGGAGCATATGCATCTGGGAGAATTTCTCTTAATTGACAGTGATGGGTGTGTGGGTTAGGACTAGGGATGGTCAATTTATTGATATATTTTTTTTTATATTTTGAGGGTAAATTTTTAACACTAATATTGAATAATATAGATTAGATTTATAAAAGTCCTGTACTTTAATTAATAATTCCTTAATAGTAAAGTGAATGGAAACTATCCTCTTCTATCCAGGGATTTACATTTGTATTTTTAAAATTTTACAAGTATTTTGAAAAGGTATTCAATATATTATATATGATTTGATATATGCTATTTAATAGATAAACTAAAATATATTTTGATTAATCTATTTTTTTCGATATGACTCGATATTTATTTTTCAAATCATTTATAACATTTTTTCCCAATATTAAGTACATCCCTAGTCGCAGGAACTTCTTCTGCTTGTTTCATTTCATTTGCATGATTAATGTGGCGTACAATAATTCCAACACTGGCCCATCCGCATCACATTTTCCCCGATTAAATAAACCAGCCCCAAAAGAAAAAAATTACGAAATTCTTAACAAACAAAACGAAGGCATTGAAAATGATTCGCTTTGATTGCTCGGCGAGCTCTTTGAGCTTTGAGAATTTTAAATATTTTACGCGTAATTAAAACGGGTGCAATTGATTGGAAATTATGAAATGTTTTCGTGCCTAAGTAAACATGATTGAGAAAACCCAAAGGGAGGAAGTCTTTGGCTCTGTGTTTTCCCCTCTGATTTTCCACTCCCATTCCTTTGGGGCAATTAAAGGCCGCTGATCTGGCACCGAGTTGACAACTGGCCAGCCAGAAGAGAAGACTTGGTTGCCAATTTTCATCAGAACCACCTGCATTCATTTACTGCTCTAACAGTTTCTTCCATTATAAGGTAATACACCGTTCATAGGGTATATGTTTTTACTAAAAGTATGGGAAAACCAGGATTAAATGTAAATTTACATTTTACTGATCAAACTTAGGTTGGTATTACACAGATTGTAAAGGTTTATCTTCATATTTATGTATTTATTTTTGTTGTATATATATTGGTTTCTACGATATTTCTCCCGGTGTACATGCATGAACTGAATTGAACTGAACTAGGCCTAAATGAAAGTCGCCCCCTCCCGTTACCTGTTTCCAATAAAATGCAATCCAAGCCCAGTCGAGTCGAGTTGAGTTGAGTTTGGCTCGGTGAATGGAATGGAAACTGCGGGATATGGGATGTGACCATGCATGCGGCCCCTGGGGCCTTATCCGCACATGGACAGACGCCGGGCACTTTCCACACATACACACACACACACACACACACACACACATACACACACACAGTATTCATGCAATTTTGCGCTTTTATTACGCAGCTATCGGTGTTGTTTTGCACTAGAAATTGCATTTAGTGGGGCACTCGAGGACTGGGGAACTCGGGCACTTTCGGAGTGGGTAGAAAATATTCAACAATATTAAAAATCAAAACTCAATCCCCTCCGTTTGCTGTGGCTTGAGCTATATATCCACAGACGGACAGGTTGCAAATTTATTAACGTGTTGATGCGAACTTCTGTTTGACTTTCTGCGGATTTCTTGGTTTCTTGGGTATCCTCTGCGTTTTTCCGCTTTTCCGGCTTTTCCCGGAATCCCCGGCCTTTGTTGTTGGCTGCTGCACATGCCATCTGGGAAAATACCCTCCTCCCGCTACCCGCTTTCATTCTTATTTTCTTTTATTTCTCTTTTTTTTGTTTGCCAATGACAAGAACACCCCGATGTGTGAGCAAGCGGGAAATCGGAAAAGCTGAGGAAAATGCTCGCCAAATGAGCAGCAGATTGATGAAGCAGAAAATATTCACCGTAAAGTAATGAGCGATGCTCTGCCAACTGGCTGATTGGATGAAAATGATGGCATTCGAAGCCAACAGTGCATCGGATTTCTTTTGTGAAAAGCTAAAGTAAGCCATATGCTTAACTGGGTTTTAATTAAACCATAAATGTATTTCAGCACTTATGAGTCAAGAGAATGTATTACTAAATACCTCTATAGGTTTTTATTTCAATTTAAAGAATGGAATAATTGTTATATCAATTAGAATTAAAATTAGTCAATAGAATGTATTACTAAATACCTCTATAGGGTTATATTTCAATTTAAAGAATGGAATTGTTATATTAATTATTGAATAAAGTCTTCAGAGTCTAGA